CATTCAACGTCATTATTTTTAAAAAGCACCCGCTCTATTTTATTTGTATACATTTTACTCAAACACATTAAAGGTGCAGTAGGTAATCTGCCAAAAAGCTAAACGCTTAGCATATTAACTTTGGACGGCGGGGAGGGACTGTGATTCAAAGCCACACCCCCTGAAATCGCGAGCGCGCGCAACAGCCGACAGACAACCCACTAGTTCAGGTCATTCGCCAGTTAGTTAGTGCCAGCGCCGTGCAGGAATTACATTTATTATACTTAGCCACACTTACATGCTATTTCAGAGAGAATATTCAGAGTAGCATGATAAACAGTATAGGAAGGCTGTCATTGTTCAAAAATGACCCAATGTGAATATAAAAGCAACTTCAGCTCAGTAAAGCAGGTTAGGCGGAATAGCGCTATTTACTGGTGTTTTGTTGTTAAACTAAATATAAATCTACATTATAGATGCTGTCAAAGAACCTTATGAAACTGAGAATAATCACATCAATCTTTCACCAGGAGATTTCAGTGGCTGAACAACGTCTGTGCATAAGTCATTCATAACACAACACAATCTAACATAAAATAGTTTCAAAACAGAACATTACCTGTCTAACAGTGATACTTCAGCCATGGTGTCGTCCTTCCTCCAGCGTGCTAAAGTAACTCCAATATTGATTCAGGTATTTAAAAGTTTCAATTCAATTCTCCCGGTCCGTCTCGTGACCGTGCAGCCGCTTTAAGAGCGAATTATACCCGCGCCTGGCTTTACAGTAATCGGCCCGAGCTCGGCTGTCCTGCGGCGCCTCCGGCTCCGACTCTGCATCTGCGAGCGGCCCACAGCTTGCTCGTGCGCATGCATTTGTGATGCAGACGGGCACGCGCTAATGGCGGATCTGCGTGAACACATGCACAGAAGTTGGAATGTACATTTGCTGACAGACAGTCTGACCTGCTTATCGGAATTAAGGGAGATGACGGTCCGACTCTATTTAATTGGATGAACATTTTTTTTATTTTATTTTTATTTAATTTTTTTATTTTAACAGTTTTATGCTTTACGCAGAATATAAAAATACATATAAACACATTTAGATCATTTACTGTAATCATTACTATTGGACTGTGAAGAGACTTTCAACCAGCACAACAAAAAATGCTTCTGAAGACAATCACCTACTGCACCTTTAACTCTACAGGTGCCTGATAGTTAGCTGTGGAGCTAACATTAATCAGATTCATTCTAGTGAACGAATAAAAATCATGATTATTATTTACTCGAGGGCACGCTTCAAATTCTTGTGCCCCCTTATTAGGTGATGGAGGGTAATGTATTCCCACAATGGACATTTCAAGCATTATTTCTCCAGTATTCACAGAAATGATACCAATGATTACTTGTTCATTCATTCATTCCTTTTCCTTTGACTTAGTTACTTTATTTATCAGGGGTCACAACAGCAGATTAAACCGCCGATTTATACAGCATATGTTTTATGCAGCGGATGCCCGTCCAGCTGCAACCCAGTACTGGGAAACACCCAACACTCACTGCTTCACACACATTCAACACCCGATTTCCTCTGGGTGCTCCAATTTCCCCCACAGTCCAAAGACATGCGCTATTGGTGAACTGAGTATGCTTAATTGGCTGTAGAATATAAGTGTGTGTATGGGTGTTTCCCAGTGATGTGTTTGCAGCTGGAAGGGCATCTGCTGCATAGAACATATGCTGGATAAGTTGGCGGTTCAATCAGCTGTGGCGACCTCAGATTATTAAAAGGGACTAAGCCGAAAAGAAAATGAATCTTGCTGAAACATAGGCAAAACCTAGTGGTTCGAAGAATATAACCTCTTTTTGTCATGCTTGTTTTGGTTATGTAAATGTGTGGGGTTATTTTTCACAGCACACCATTGTCATCTGCTAGTCAGGAAAAACAGGACAAACCTCAATCAAATCCATCTGATGAAGAACAGGAGAACATGGAGACCTCAAATGAGCAACCGGCTAATCCAAGCTCAAAGAAGAAGCGGAAGAGGAACAGAAAGAAGCATAAAAAGCAGGAATCCTGAACTTATATTGGACTAGTATTAAATAATACCATTTCAGCTAAATGGACTCTGGCTTCTTCTTTTGTTTTTTTCAAATGTGATTAAACATCAAATATTGTTTCATGTCAAGTCTCTTATTTGAATTGATAGAAAAATTATTTAACTTATAAATTATAAATGTGGGATGTACTGTATTTTCTGCAAAGTAAGTTGTACCGGGTCAAAATGGTGTTGTTGAGGGGAAGGAAAACTGGTTATTTAATTCATAAATGAGGCAACTAATGTTAACAGTCTACCAGTTTCACAAATTATTAAAGAATGCTAGCAAAACTCTTTCAACCTTTCAATAAGGTTGAAACTAGGACGCAATGTGCTAAAACAAACTAAGTGCGAGTTATATTAAACTTTATCAACTTGTGGAAACCATAGTGTGTAAAAACAGGTTTAAATATGCTAGCAATTAGTTAATATGCTAGCAATTAGTTTAAAACAAGCAACACAACATGAAAACACCAACAATGTACTAAAAATTAGTTATGTTAGTTTTAAAATACATTAGCAGTGCACCAAAACATGCTTGTTGATATGTTAAAACGATAAGAATGTGCTGACAAGCTGCAGTAAACATGTTGACGGGTTAAAACACTAGAAATATGTTAATGTTAGTAACAAACATGTTAAATCAATCAAAGCACTAGCAACTCTTTAAAACATGCTAGGTGGAGATAAAAAAAGGTAAACCATATTTACTTACCTTGAAGCTATTCTGGTCAACGCCAACACCTAAAGTGTCTTGAACTCAATTTACTTTCATTTGAAACTAGGGCTGCGTGGTGAAATCCGTTACAAAAACACACTTTTGGCGCGAATCCAACTGAGCGCCCGCTTTGTTTGACTTGAACACAATCAGTGCAGTTAAAATCCACAGCAAGTCGACTACTATACCCTCAAGTTATTCTGGAAGGTAATTTTCTTCTCAAGGCCATTAGAAAGTGTCTTAAACTCAATTTACTTTAATTTGAAACTGAAACTAGCGGTGTGTTGAAAATGCATTACAAAAATTAACTTTTACCTCGAATACTGAGCACGCATGCTTTGTTTGACAAGTTGCACCACATTTCAGCATATAATACATATATATTTAAGTTCCTGAAATGGCCGATATTAGTTATGTATTCAGCACAATCATTGAGTCCAGTTAAAATCTCCAGCAAGTCAACTTTACTATACCTTCAAGTTATTCTGGTGGGAATTTATCTTCTCAAGGCCAACATTACAAGTGTCTTGAACTCAATTTAAATTTGAAAGTGAAACTAGCCGTGAGTGGTGAAAATACGTTACAAAAGCAAACTTTTGGCGCGAATTTAAGTAAGCGCACTTTGTTTGACTGACGTAGTCGCGGAACATTTCAGCTTAAAAAACGGGTCTTATTTCCAGAAATGGCTGATATGTACTAGTCACGCATCACACTCAACAAGTGCAGTTAAAATCCACAGCAAGTCAACTTTACTACTTACCTTCAAGTTATTCTCAAGGCCATTACAAGTGTCTTGACCTCAATTTACTTAAATTTGAAACTGAAGCTAGCCGTGTGGTAAAAATACATTACAAAAGCTAACTTGGCGTGAAATTGTCAAACTGAGTGTGCAGCATCTACTTTAAAACTAGATTAAAGACACTATGCATTAGCATACACATAAAACAAAAATGCTTTTGAAATCCAAATTCTCTAAAGGATTGTTAGTCTGCATTATTTAGGGCAGGTGTTCTCAAACTTTTCAGCCCGCCACCCCTAAAATTACACCAGTGATCACGACCTCCTCTACGCACACCAATAGGAACTATATAAACAAGCTTATAGACGACACAAAAAAAAGTGCAAAAGTTTATTTTTTATAATCATTATTCATATTCAGTTTAATTTAATAATAATCTCACTTAATGAGGATGGTGATCTTGGAGATCCTCCTCCTTGTTCAGTCATGGCCTTTATTTTTAATGAATTTGAGTGCCATAAATGTGTAAAAGTTTACCATGAATCTAGCATAATAACCTCAGGGGTCACAATCCAGTGGAAAAAAAAATTGAAAGGCTGATGACTTTTTATTTGCATGTTTTTAATGTAACTATTAAATATATTAAAAGTATATTAAAAAACTAATTTTATATTCTGCCAGTTAAGGATGAAATATAATAGTTATAATAGTTTATTAAAATGAGATTTTTGGAAATCACCAGGAAGCAAAGTGAGAGAGAGAGGGGTTAGGGACGGGAAATGTTCTCGAGCCGGGATTCGAACTCGGGACTCTGAAGTGGTACAGCACCATATGTCGACACATTAACCACTAGGCTATTGCGCCGACCTCTCAAGGTTTTTTTCCTTCACTTTCACAATTTGGTAGTTTGTTCCTTGCTACTGTCGCCAATGGCTTGCTTTGTTCGGGACTTGTGGAGCTGCGCATCAATGGATTTGCTCTTCAGTGTTTGGACTGTCAGCAGTGAAAATTAAACCACACTGCACTGAACTTTCTTGAAAATTCTGAAAACCGGACTGACACGGTTTCAAATTGACTATAATCTTCTATGTTAAGCTGCTTTGACACAATCTACATTGTAAAAGCGCTATAGAAATCCAGATGAATTGAAAATATAGAAGCTGCATCAAATTTATACACCATTTTGAGGGATGTAAACAATAACAAGGGACCTGACGTATTTCCTGTTTTACATTTTAAATTTCCATAGCTTATGACAATCCAAAATGTTCCACATGTTCATAAATTATGTTAAGATAGCTGTTATAAAATCGAGTTATGATTGAATCGACTCTTGTTGCAGATATGAAATAGTTTAACAAGCAGGAAATGTTCATGGGCCAATGACACCCCCACATTGAAACGGCCGATGTTAGTCATGCATCCAACACAATCAACGAGTGCAATTAAAATCCACAGCAAGTCGACTTTACATTTTTATTCAAAACCAGCATGTCGTCATCAGAGCATTCAAGCGGACACAACAGTCCTCGTGTGTCGCTTCATTCAGAACTGCACTCACGCTTCGAGGGTTATCGGGAAACGGTCATTTTTACACACAAACTGTGAGCATTCACTTAACAGAAACACCTGAAAAACATACAACTACGTACAACAGCTCTCAAACAGTCACAGCTTGAGAAATCCAGCTCTCAACACGCATCTCATTATTTCCAAACAGTCTTGTATTTGGTACGGCTTTCTAATAAACCGAAAGCCTCGCCTCATGCCTCTCTACATCTGTCTGGGCATGAGGATACTCCAAAATGGATTTATCATTACAAATTATGCTGTTAGAATCCAGATAAGGAACGCCATGCATGGCTACAACCCAAAACATTTAACAGTCTCGGGTTCAGGGATTTTCTTCAGGCCGAAAAATATTAGGGGGATATGATGAAAGTCTAAAATCAATGCTGCTTTTGTGCTTCCATATTTATTGTGCATTGAAATACTAATTAAATCCAGTGTTTGATAGTCAATATAAAATAATAACTGAAAACTAAATCATACATCAAGGGATACTTCGCCCAAATAATACAATTTTGTTTTCCTCTAATAAAGAACACTGACATTATTTTAAAAGCTCATTTTTAAAAAAGTAATCCAGAGTTAAACAGTTGAGTTTTACAGTCCTGGTCTCGAGGGAGCAGTTTTAGCTTAGCTTAGCATAGATCATTGAATCAGATTAGACCATTAGCATCACTCTTAAACCAACAAGAGTTTTGGTAATTTTCCCATTTAAAGCTTCACTTTTCTGTAATTTCATCGTGTACTAAGACAGACTGAAAATAAAAAAATTGTTGGTATTTTCTAGGTTGATACGACTAGAAACTATATACTTTCATTTTAGTGTAATAATCAAGGAACTTTGCTGCTGTACCATAAGTGTACCATGTCCAATGATATTACACAGCACCTTGGATACTTCAATGTATTCTGATTCAAATAGATATGGCTCTGTATCTGCACCAAAGTAAATATGTTCTGAATTGTCTCTCACAAATGTATGGATGGTTGCAAAATTTTCAAGCGCTGCATAATAACACTGCACCTGTTGTGGCTGTGGTCCAGCAACAAAGTTACTAAACGTAAAATTTTTCGCTTTCCATTAGTCTTAGTACACAATGTAACTACAGAAAAGTCAAGGTTTAAATAGGAAGATCGAAACTCTGGTCATTTTTGAGAGAGATGCTAAAGGTCTAATCCGATTCAATGATCTATGATTAGCTACCATTAGCATCACTCTTAAAAACGACAAGAGTTTTGGTAATTTTCTTATTTAAAAGCTTCACTTTTTTGTAGTTTCATTATGTACTAAGACAGACTGAAAATGAAATGTTATTTTTTAGGTCAATACGACTAGGAACTACATACTTTCATTTCAGCGTAATAATCAACGAACTTTGCAGTCGTACCATGTGCAATGATATTAAGCAGCGCCTTAAAATTGGATACTCCCATGTATTCCAGTTCAAATAGAAATGGCTCTGTATCTGCAATAAAGTAAATATGTTTTGAATTGTGTCTCGCAAATGTATGGATGTTTGCAAGACTCAAGTGCTGCATAATAATGTTGCACCTGTTGTGGCTGTGGTCCGGCAACAAAGTTACTAAACTTTTCGTTTTCCATAAGTCTTAATACACAATGTAACTATAGAAAAGTCAAGATTTAAATAGGAAGATTGAAACTCTTTTTGTCATTTTTGAGAGAGATGCTAACAGTCTAATTTGAATCAATGATTATGCTAAGCTAAGCTAAAAGTGCCGTCAGACATGAATATAAACTAAATAGATAAATAAAAAAAAACTCAACTGTTTAACTCAAGGGGATTTGTGAAATGAAGTTATTTAAAAAAAACAAACTGTTACTTAATGGAGTGTTTCTTCATTTGTAAATCATTTTTAAATGCAGTCTTGGTGATTCAAGCAAGTCAGTGGCTACCACCAGCACTATGATAGTCTAAATACATCAGTTTCCTGCAAAGAATTCATAAGAACTCAATATATCAACGAGCTTCAGGAATTTAATTTTCCAAATACTTGCATTCTATCAACCACCAAGGACCAGATAAGTCTTTTACATCTTGCTGAAGAAAAGTGATTATATTATTAGCAAATGTAATTTTTGTGGTGAACCATCCCTTTAATAGACCTGAGAATTGCATTAAGACTCAAACTCAGTGTATCGGCGGTCCACATAACGTCTTGACTCCATTTCCCAACAGATACTGATTCAGGAACATTCCTAAGACATGCCGTTTCAACTGCAGGTGGAATATTTGCTATATCTTGGCATTTTAAAACACATCACAAGCATGCACAAACCATAGGATTCATACAAAGCCAGGAATGGTTCATACAGAATTGGGTAATAATGGTATACATGCACATAAAAACTAAACCAAATAAAAGGTAGATATAAATAAGCATTAAACCCTCTCGATGATAAATCAAATCTGAATGTGTAGAAGCAAAATCATCTTAAAGCAACATTCAGTCAGATAAATGCATTCTTCTTACTCCTAAAGGTCACGTTTTAAGGGGGCACTTTTAAATTTTTATTTTTTGCACTTATTTGAATTCAACACCTACTCAAATGTTAATCTCCAAAACACATTTTCACTCAAAATTGCAGAGATTGAAATTGGATTCTTTTAGTCAGTGATCAAAAATAAGGTTGAGATTTTCCAAACGCTCCTGTGCATCATTGTGAAAAAACAGACATCCATATCTCAGTACAAATCCGACATCATCCATAATATGTAACCATAAGCGAAACGCACTAAGGCACACAGAGCAGAGCAATGAAATGCGAAGGAAAAGAAATAACGAACGAAAACGAAGCAAATGAGAGCTACATCCAGTGCCTGATGGAAGAGGTTTTAGATCAATGTCTGTGATAAGTGCCGACTTTAATTATGCAGAGTACATCAAATCAACAGGGACACAGATGCACGGTTAATATGGAGAGGTAGTAAACTGGCCATGGTGTGATGGGAAAAAAATGTGCGAGTTGCATGTAAAAACACCAGCTTTGGTATGAAAATCCAACGAATGCAAGAAAACATAGAGGTTCAGTGTGTAAATGCAGGAATTTGCAGGAATTGCAAGTGGTGTAAAATTAAGATTGTTTATTATGCAGCTCACTCAAAGAAGAAAATTGCTTTAAATGAAACATTAAAATATTCACGTTTTGAAGGCTTAACAAAATGGACGATTCTGCTAAGCATGATGGAAAAGCATGACATGTAGGTTAACAAACAAAAAAAGGGTGTAATTACCGGATTTAAAATAAAGAGCATCTGATTACTCGACCCAAAAAAGTTCCTTTTCTTTTGAAAGGCCTGGACTGAAATTCATGTGTGAGTCCAGATTTTGAAAGTCTTATTTTTTTTTCTTTCTTTCAAGTATAATTTACTCCCGTTCGCCATCCTTCCCCAACACCAGACGCCCTCATCAGACTCCATCAGTGAGGTCATGATGAGATTCGGTGGGCGAGAGATTGGGCTAAAATTCTACACTCCACGAGCCTTGATCCTACAAGCCTGACCAGCCCTGGCAGTCTGAGGGTTGTAGAGATGAGGTCTGTGTTTGGACCAGCAGCAGAGTTGGGACAGTCGGAGGAAGTAACAGAGTCCAAACGACAAGAAAGACGAGTCGGACTCACTTCAGCTGTGTTACTTCTTCCGTGGGTGTTGCCTGCGTGCTTGTAATCGACGAGCCCCAGAGGTTTTAGTACCCGTCCCAATAGAGAAGCTGGCTGGTGAAGCACCTGAAATTAAAAATATTGAAGTATATAATAGTCTTGAGATTAGGCCTACGCAATATATCAGGGTATATGCAAGAATCCTAAAGACAGTTTCAAAACCCTTTTAAGACTTTTTAAAGACCTTCTCAGAATATTTTAAGACCTCATCACCACTTCAAGTTCTAATCAGTATCAAACCCTTAACTTAAACAGTTGTAGTTAAATAAATCAATGGAGCACAACCATGCGACAGAACTCTGACAAGAGTAAATTACGTGGTGGTTTTCAGTGACAGGCTTCAGCCACGGTTTAAACTCGTCTTTCTCCATCCAGGAGTACACAAACGTACATTTTCCCATTTTGTCTTCTGTTTCGCTACATGTGGAGCCCGTCACATAACCTTCCCACGTTTGTCGCAAATTACGTGACATCGCCCGGACGAAGAAACTTGGCCGGATGCCTCCTGACACAAACCAATCGCATGGATCGCGCACGCTGTTGTTAATATTAGGAGGAAAATTAATATATTTTTAATTAGTCAAACACTTTGGACAACACTTGAACGAAATTTAAGACCTTGAAAAATGTGAAAAGAACTTTACCTTTTAAGGGCCTTAATTTTTTTCATAATTGATTCATCAAATTTTAATACCTTTAAGACCCAGCGGACACCCTGTATATCGTTTTAGCATCGATATCACGATGTACGCATCCACAAGTCACATCACAGAACCTGCGATGTTGAGTTGGAACATACATATACACACACTCACAGGCCCTTTTAATTAGGTGCACTTGCTTATTTCTAATTAGCTAATCACATTGCAGCGACTCAATGTGTTTAGGTATGTAGACATGGTCAACTGTGGTCATGGTCATCTCTGAACACACAACATGTCGAACATTGAGGCGGATGGGCTACAGCAGTAGAAGACCACACCGGGTGAGAAGATGGTAGGGTCAGAATTTGGGGTCAACAACACAAAAGCATGGACCCATCCTGTCTAGTATAAACGGTTTAGGCTGGTGGTGATGGTGTAATGGTGTGGGGATATTTTATTGGCACACTTTAGGCCCATTAGTACCAATTGAGCATTGTGTCAACGCCACAGCCTACCCGAGTATTGTTGCTGACCATGTCCATTTCTTTATGACCACAGCTTACGATGGCTACTTCCAGCAGGATAACACACCATATCATAAAGTCTGAATCATCTCAGACTGGTATCTTGAACATAACAATGAGTTCAATGAGATCTGGTGACTGGAGGCCATTTGAGTAGAATCTAATCATGGATGTGCAGCCGACAAATCTGCAGCAACTGTGTAATGCCATTATGTCAATATGGACTAAAATCTCTGAGGAATATTTCCAGTACCTTGTTAAATCTATGCCACGAAGGATTAAGGCAGTTCTGAAAACCAAAGGGAATCCAACCTGGTACTAGTACGGTGTACCTAATAAAGTGGCCGGTGACTGTGCATATAGAACTACTGAAACAGTAAACTCTTTGCGGTGCTATTTTATATTTTACTTTTCAATTTCATTGAAAAGCATAAAGCATCATTTATTTCACTTTTATATTTGCTCAATTGTATTTATCACTGTTTTTTATTTGTTTATTACATTTCATGCATAATTCCCACCCCTACAGAATCATCCTAATCAATCTAAAATTAATTATTTCCGAATAGGGCTATTTAAGTCATCTGGTGAAATGTATAAAAATGATGATCAAGTGTGACTGTAAGCTTACCAAATGGTGAAGCACCCAAGCCGCCCATTGCTCCAAATCCTGGTGTTCCAGGACTGCCGAATGGCATGGACATTCCTGGAGACGCCTGGCCAAAAGCAGGAGTCGATGTTCCTGGGACACACAAGCAGGATGTGTTATGAACATTCATTGAAGGCATAGTTCAACTAAAAAAAAAATTATTCTGTCATTTACTCTTGCTTGTTGCAAACACAAAGATGACCCTTCAAAGAACGCTAAAAACCTGAAACCCTTAACATTCATAGTTTTAGTTTTCACTACTTTGAAAGTCAATGATTACAGGTCTTCAGCTTTCTTCAAAATATCATTGTGTGTGTTCAACAGAGGATAGAAACTTTTGACAGGTCAAAATCCACAGTAACTACTTAAGGGAAAACATTTAAATTTTTATGTGTATTATCCCTTTAGCACAGATCATAAAATACCTCAAACGTTAAATTTTATTCAATTACTAGGGGTGTAATGAAGCATACTGATCAGGGATCAGCCGTGGATCCCAATTCTAGGTTCGGAACACACATGACCCGCGGATTAATAACTTTTTTTGCACTTGTTGGTTAATCCTGTATTTGTAACAATTGCAGAGAGATCACCTCCCGCATCTTTCAAATCTTGTGTATAAAAGCATTTTTACATCCCTGTAAAATGTAATGATGACAAAATAAATGCTTTATTAGGTTATTAACTAAAGGTGTGTTCTGTCACTGCTTGTTTACATTGTGTAACCATTGGTTGGTGACAAACAACCATCAAAATTGTCACTGAATAGGTTTTCAAAAATAATACACCTATAATAAAGTGTGAAGTTTTGTGTGTGAATTGTTGAATCATTAATTGAAAATAAATATGATATGTTGTACAAGATGTTAGATTTCGATATTTAGCATTATTAGCAACAAAAGCAAAGATCATTTATGAAAATGAAAGGTTCCAACTTACAGTTTTTGCAGTAATATTTTTGTGTAAATGTAAAGCAAATGACATTTGTCTCCTCGCTTTTTTGCTGATCCGAAAAAATGGTTTGATTCGTGACTCAAAAACTGTAGTGTGATCCGAACTATGAGATTTGTGATCCGTTACACTACTATTAATTACCAATTATACAGTAAAAAAGATAAGAACATTTCTGGTGCAACTTTCTATTCAATTTAGTATTTCTATACTACAAAACTATAAATATATTTTAGAAGTTATTTAACTTGATCAAATATATACATTCTTTATTATTGATCATAATAGTTAAAACAACGAGACAAAAAAAGAGCAAGATGCAAAAAAGGTTACCAGCAGCCCCAAATTAATGAAATAAAATGCTTAGAAACTTCACATTTTAATAAACATTACTATTAGTTCCTCTCATTTCTCAGAGCCAAAAACTAAGAAATAAACTAAAAGATTGATAAAGTATTTAAAAACTGAACTTACAGTAGCATTCAATATAAACCATTATAAAAGATTTTATTTTTTACAGGGCTCGAAATTGCGACCATTTTGGTCGCATATGCACCCGAAATTTTATCTATGCGACCTTAAAATATATTTGGGAGCATTTCTGCGAGTGGTTAAAATTGTTGTGTGCGACCAGTTTTTGCTGCAAAATGTTCATCACGTGCGCGGATTTGGGAGACATTCACGCAGAATGCATCTCTAAGCTCTCTGTCTGCACTTGAATCGCGAAACGCAGCGCTCAGGAATGGTTTAAAACAGTTGTCATGTCACCTTGCTGCAGTAAACAAATCCAAGTCTGTAATGCTTGCCCCGCCTTTGCGCTTTTCTTATTGGCCCACCACTGCTCTAGCACTGAACGCGAATGATTAATATCAGCTTTCAATCACTCAATGCCTTCTGGCTTTGGATGACAGAGCTACTACCGCGAAAAATTATAAAGCGCTGAAGATGAGAATGAAGATAACACTGGCAGATTTTGTTTTAGAAACCATGGCATCTACAGTAACAAATAATGACACATCTTACTAGTGATCATGTGCTGAATGTTAATCCACCATCTACACTTTTCGAAGAGTAGAAGACTTCCGTTGGCTTCAAGTCCGCGGTGAAAAGTCTGTGGGATGGAGTTTTCAGGTAACTGTTTGCCACATCTAGCACGACAGCTTCTGTTTAATCCTTGTTATAATCGCCAGATGCTGTCCGCCGCGCAAGGGGCAGATATATGTCAAATTTAACACTACGAACACCATTGCAAACGGGCTTACACTGAGTAAACTAATATCGCTACTCCTAAAAAGACCGGTATTGCTATTATACTGTATATATTATATTATATATATAACATATGCATATAATAAGGTACAGTACATGTCAAAAGCATCAGCGCAATATCAGACAGCACTTGTGAGAACAGCAGAGTTATACCGTTAACCGATTCATTCAAGCAGTGCGTGCAGGGCCGGTGAGCGCTCCGTCTATGTTTTGGTCACTCAGTTATGTTATAAAAATTAATTTTCTTGTGATAACGGGATTTCGTTGAGACATATTTTCCTCAAGCTTGCATATAACGTTATATATTTTAATTTTTTTTGCTTGTCAGTTTGATTAGTGTTAATTTCAAATACAATAAATATGTTTGTATAAAACTTGTAGTAACGGTGCTCATAATTGGTGGTGCGACTAAATTTTGGCTGATGCTAAAGTTAGGAGCACCGGTGCTACCAAGCAAAAAGGTCAATTTCGAGCCCCGTTTTATTTAACAAATTAAAAGTGAGTTAAGCAGAATGTGGGAAATAATGCCCTACACAAAAAAAAAACTCATCTCTCACATTGCACAACTTGTCTCTTGGCAATTTTAACTCCATTATACAGGCTAAGGCTTCTTTGGAACATTCAAATTTTTTAATTCATGCCTGGCGTGAGGATATTAGTTCAAATACAGTGAAGATCAGGTAGAAAAGCACTGCAAAGTCATGACTAGTAGTTTTGAAAATTTACAGCAAACAAGTTTTAGCATGCTTGATAAAATTTGACAATACAGGCAGCAGATGAGTCAAGCATGTACATAAGGGAGGAAAACGGCACCCGATAATCAAGATCAAAGAGAATGGGTACAGAAACCGCAGGTGTTACACTAAATAACAAGAGCAGACAAAACCTGAATAACAATGTTGTTAACTTACTACACGTTGCCAGATTACAAAACGGATCAAAAAGCTTAACACTCATATACTTGATTATGACAAGGAGGTTAAATAATTTGACATTTTACATAAAATGGGTTTTAAATAATTTAATGCTTCTGGTTGATAATTTGGTCAAACCTAGTGCTTTGAAAGATTGAGGCAAAATATATAAATGACAATCAGTTTTTAAGGGGGCTTAAGGGGATATTTCACCAGAAAAGTTAATCGTGTCATCATTTACTCACATTATACTTGTGCCATTCCAGTTTGAGTGTTTTGTTCTTCAGCGCAAAATGAGATTTACTGAATGCTTATAACCTGTAACGATTAACTTCAGTAGTAGGAAATACAAATACTATGGGAGTCAATCTTTACAGGTTTCTAGCATTTTTAGTGCACTTGTCACAAATGGGTATAAAGCAAGTAAAATGTGAGTAAATGATGACAGAATTTTCAGTTCTGGGCGAATTTGAATTAAAATGCTTAAATTTGTGTACAGATTTTACATTTAGCGGACATTTGAACAAGCAGTGAATGCAACGCCTCGAAATTCGGGCACCATCTCCAAAAACACTCGATTGATCTCGGCAGGCAGATCAACATTCACCACATGATCGCTGTCATCGGCGCCATTATTTGTAACTTTAGGTGGGGTTTGCAAACCGGTGTACTTTTCACTCTTCACCTGTTTGCATTTCCTGCTGTCACAAAAGCTCCCTGTCATCTGAGAGTAGAGCTGCACGATTCTGGCTAAAATGAGAATTGCGATTTTTTTGCTTAAAATAAAGATCACGATTTTCTCACAATTCTAGATGTAAAATAAAGGTATGATAAAAACAAACATATGGCACAACATCGATAATAATATTATGTGTAGGTCTACTGGTTTCTATAAATGATTTTATTCTACTTATAATAATTCTGATGTTGAATTATTATGCTTGAGATGCTTGCAATCTGTTATATTAGACAAATTTATTCACTGGTAAAATCAGACATTTGCCATTATGAGATTATATTCAACAATATATAGGCTAGAGTAGTTATACTGACATTATAAACATTTATTTTCATGTACAACTGTGGGTTCGCTATGAAAGAAAAACCATCACATGCTTGTCGTAATGATAACTCGATATGATCATTTAAATGAAGTGCACACTTTCGGTTTCATTTTGACTGCTAAGTGCTTGTTCATACTTCGCGTGCGGCTCCCAAACGATCACTCTGTGCCACAAACTGTCTATTATTTACAACTGTATTACCTGTTACTCGCAACATATGCAGGTTCTGTTAACAAAAGTAGACGCGCCCTCTCTGTGATAACAGCTCACGTCACGTGTGATTTCCAGGCCTCGAAAACATCATTATATGAAGACAAAAATGACATTTTAAGGTGAATTATACCTATGAATACAGTATGTGACTCATTCAACATCATTTGGAGGTGTCAATGTCACTTAGGAACGTGTGTGAAACAATGAAAAGACTCGTGCAGCCGCCTTTTCTTCTCTCCTGAACTTGAAAATATGATTGGCAGAATTGTAGAAATGCTGGATTAAGATCGTCTAGGGGTAGAATCGAGATCGCGATCTTTTAACGATTAATTGTGCAGCTCTATCTGAGAGCATAAAGCCTTGAGGGATTGACAGCTGATATGAACCAATATAGCGGCAGGGAAGACTGATTCAGCACGGTTTTAGAAAAAAAAAATAAACAGGTCGCACTACAACCACTATATGCAGTCGCACAAATGCTCCCAAATATATTATGAGGTCGCATAGATTCAATTCCGGGCGCATATGCGACCAAAATGATCGCAACTTCGAGCCCTGTGTCAGGAAAACAATTCAACCAAAGAAACCAGTCAAACATTCTTAAGAGTAAAAAGATAAAGTAATAACCACAACTGATCAATGTGAAATATGACCTCTTGACTTTTATTAATTAAAAGGACTTACCAAAAGCAGGCTTGCTGTCAGTGTTATTGGCTCCAAAAGAAAACCCTTGGGGTTGAGCTGCAGGCGCAGGGGTCCCAAATGGTGTTGATGAAAGTGACGCCCCAAAGTTAAACCCTCCAGAGGCAGGAGGAGCCGGAGTACTTGGTGCAGTGTTCTGATTGGCTGTTGGTGCCCCTCCAAAGGTGAACGTAGGTGCTGGGGCAGGTGCAGGGGCCGCAGTCTGTGTGGTGGCCCCAAAGACAGGTGTTGCAGAAGGTGTGGTGGTGTTTCCGAAAGAAAAGCCGGATGACACTCCACCAAATGCAGGCTGACTATTAGTCCCAAATGCAGGTGCTGATGTGCTGGCAGCGGTGCCAAATGTGAACGGTGATGCACCGCTGCTTGCGCCGGCGGCTCCAAATGCGAAAGGCTTTGGAGCAGCGAGGGCCTGCGGTGTGGATGCTGGGAAATTGGATGATGTGGTGAAAGTCGAGCTTCCAAATGTGGTTTGTGTTGTGGGCGCTTCTGAGGACGTGGTGGCATTGCTGGTCACACCGAATCCACCAAATGGAGTTGTTGTGGAGTTCTGGTTCGTGGACTGCTGGCCAAATGTGAACGTGTTTTGGGCCTGTGGGGCGGCAGCTGGTTTTGCTGCACCAAATTGAAAAGCGGAGTTAGCGCTGCCAACGCTAGCAGTGTTGGTGTTCAGCGCAGGTGTTGCCGTAGTAGTTGATGTAGCTCCAAACTGGAACGTGGGGTTTGTGGCAGGAGCAGATGTGGTTGGTGTGGACCATTTTCCAAACAGAGACTGGGAGGGAGTCTGTGTGGCCGGGGCGGCAGAAGAGGGCACTGTTGTTGGCTGGGTACTGGTTAATCCACCAAATAACATCGCACTGTTCTGTGAGGCTGGAGCTGCAGGGGTTGATGTTGTCGGTGTGATGGTCTGCCCGAATGCACTAACGCCACTAATTGTGGTGCTGCCAAATAAAGGCTTGAAGGTGGGCTGGGTGGGTTTGACCTCGGGTGTTGAAGCAGGGGTGGTGCTTGCTGCACTGAAAATGGGCTTAAACCCAGATGAGAGAGGATTGCTAATGCTGTTGACTGATGCAGCTGTGTTTGTAGGTGCGGCAACTGTAGACTTGGGAGGCTCAGATGCAGGTGTGGCCACAGGTTTGATCAAGCTAAACAGGCTGCTGCCTCCACCCAGCGATGAAATGGTTGATGGGGGCTGAAGAGGTTGGGCCAGGATCTGAGCAAAGGTGGAGGGCATGGAGGTGGCTGGTTTGAAAGCAGGTGATGATATGGAGGATGGGGCAGAGAATGAGGATTGCAGAGCAGTGGGACCCGATTCAGACTTGACAACTCCACTGCTTGGGATTATGGATGCAGCAGGAGCAGAAAGACTGGATACAGGCACTGCTGGAGCTGAATACAGAAGAACATAAACATGATCAAGTATAAAACAGAAAAACAACATCAATATTACGGTAGAGACCAAGTATCATCTATTTTAAGTAATTATATAAAATACTGTTAAAAAAATGGGATTATCGTTTTCTTTTTTAAAACCTTATCGTTTTCTTTTTTTAAAAACTTTAATTTAGCAGCAAAAGTGATATATATATATATATATAGATAGATAGATAGATAGATAGATAGATAAGAAATGTATTTTCTAATAATAATAAATGCAGCACTGGTTAGTGTGACTATTTTCTGAGTGGTACCGTTCAGTATAATTCTGTACTAGGGCTGTGCGCTTAATTGAACATGCGTGATTTCTAAATTACCTAACGGTAAGATTTTCCCGCAGCATGCCACTTAAACCAATCATAATGCAGCACGCCTAAACAGAGCACGAGAACAGGAGACTGAGCTAATTGACAAACAGCCTGGATAAACTGGGATGATAAGTTCCGACTTGGTGCCAAAAAAGTCAACATCTGTGGTGTGGAACTACTTTGGATACAGAAAGGCTGATTTAATCACAGAATCAGGTCATTTGTAAGACCTGTCAGTCACATATTGCATGTGTAAATTACGATGACTATTGTGCGCGCAATATGTGAACGGACCTCGGCTCAGTTGGCATTTCTGTGTGGAGTTTGCATGTTCTCCCTGCCTTCGCGTGGGTTTCCTCCGGGTGCTCAGGTTTCCCCCACAGTCCAAAGACATGCGGTACAGGTGAATTGGGTAGGCTAAATTTTCCGTAGTGTTTGAGTACGAGTGTGTGTGTGAATGTGTGTGTGGATGTTTCCCAGAGATGGGTTGTGGCTGGAAGGGCATCCGCTGCGTAAAAACTTGCTGGATAAGTTGGCGGTTCATTCCACTGTGTCGACCCCAGATTAATAAAGGGATTAAGCCGACAAGAAAATGAATGAATGAATGAATGAATATGTGAACGGCCTATTTCACAGCAGTATCATCATAAAGAGGTCTATGATCTATGCATGGCAAAAAAATAAATAATCTGTGGACACGTAGAAAAATACACGCCTTGTAGAAAAGTACACTTCTGACATGTGGTCAAACAAAACATCAGAGCCTTTCATTACATCAGAGCATTTGTTACACCTTTACTAGGTGATTTTTATTTTTTTTGCCTCATGTCTGTTTGAGACATGTTACAGTTTTTAATTAAGATCTAACTATTTTCCTTTGGAAATAGGTTTCAGAATCACAGTGTAAAATGTCTGTGTGTCAAAATCGAAATTGCAATATTGTTCAAGAAAATTGTGACGGGTTTCTTTTGCCCATTTCACACAGCCCTACACTGTACAGTACTATACAGTACAGGCAACCCAAATGTACACTTGGAGGTTGGAGTAGGCCAAAATGTTGCTATCAAAGTAATGTACACTGAAAGTAGTGATTAACGTTATTCTCATGTGAAGTCAAGTCATAGGGGCCATTTACATATTGGGTCTTTTTGTGATTTATTGCTAGTCATTCCTTCTTTAGGTACCCTTTGGAATGGTCCCAAAAATCGTGGTAGATTTGGTCATTTTGGTAAGATTCAAAACATCTGACTTTGAAAATAAAATGTATTGTACTGAAGCATACCGCTTAGCAAATTTAACAAAGTGCAATAAATACCTGCAGTGGTAGTGCCCATCAGAGTCGGAGCAGTGAGAAGAGGATTATTCTTCATGTTTTTCAGAGACTCCAGCAGGGGGTTTGAAATGCTTGAAGCTGGTGCAGTTGAAACAGTTGTGGCAGCTGTTAGAGATGCGGTAGTGATGGCGGGGGATGAGATGAGGGTTAGAGGTGCAGAGCTGGCCGTGCTGGACGCAGTGATGGTTAGGTCAATAGTTGGAGCAGGAGTTGTAGTAATAGCTGGTGTGGTCTCAGGCTTGGGTGTGGAGAGAGAAAGCAGAGAGGGAACAACGCTCGTAGCAGGTGCTGTCCCGGATGTGGAGATTGGAGCTGGCTGAGAGAACAGGGATAAAGTGGGAGCTGAAACTGGGGCAGGAGCAGGTTCAGATGCTGGAGGAGGAATCTCCGGTTCTGGAAAAAAAAATATTAATGGATTTAGCTGCAAGCATTTCATTTTGTTGCAACTCTAACCATTCAAACTGGATTTAAAAGATCTCACCAGGCTCCTCCAGGACTTTCTGTATCTTGCTGAGAGCGGCTTTCTTCTCCATATCTAGATCTTTCACTGTGATTGTATATCCAACCTCAGGAGGTGGTGGCTGCAGACACAATTACAGTGATAAATAACCATAATGCAAAAGTGCCATGAATGCTAATCTAAAGCAGCTTTGATCATTACCAAAGAAATCTGATCTCCTCTGTTTGTGGTGACCAGCTGAATTTTGCGTTTACGTTTGCCACCGCTGCTTCCAGAGTCTGACGTTGATGTCGCAACAGGTGCCTCAGATTTTGGGGTAAGTTTAGCTAGCATAAACAAAAACAAAAGTTAAGCCTTGGTATTAAAGAGGAAAACCAACATTTTAATTATACTACTATATTATTTTGTAGACTTGTTCAATTTTCTTTCTCACTTGTATTTGGAGAAGGGTCAGGATCAGCTGCCACCTTATCCGTTTTAGCGAAGGATGTTGAACTTGGTGAGGTAGCATCTTCCTCCCTACAGAGTTTAGCAATAGTTTATTAATTAGAGTAGTTGTGTGTTCACATTTTATATCAAGGCCAATTTTTAAAAACACATTTTTTTATTTAAGTTTTTATTGCAGAGAGATACAATTCACAGCATCAGTAGACATGTCACTTTTACAGCTTTTCCAGTTCAAATTCGCCATTCCGGGATCAAAGAGGAGACACGAATCTCTTCATGACAGTGACAGAACAACATACCCCTTTGCCTTATTTTACATAACTCTTATCAAAACTATATACAGAAAAAAAGGGAAGGGACAATATTATCAGTAAAATTAATCTTAGATTCTATAGAAAAAAGACATTAGGTTTAATTGGATTAATGTACTCAATCCATTTAAACCACAGGTCAACAAGTTGTTTTGGCTTTGCACACAATATGTAATTTTCTCTATAATGAATATATTTTTCAAAACATCAATTAAATCCTGCATTTGTGGTGGATTTAGGCATGAGATGATAACTGTTTTCAGGGTATATCGCAGTTTGGAAAAGACAAGGTTTTAAAATTGCAAACATTTTCTGTAAAACCGTTCCTAAGGTATGTGTAAGATTTTTTACTATTTTATTTTTTGTTTAGTTTCTTTAAAAAAAATTAAATGTATTGTTTTTTACTCAGACATTTAAAAAGAATATATTTTAGAGCAGTTCTCACAATACCATGATATTTTTATCCAAGGTTATCACACCATCAGAATCTTATACCGGCCGAAGCCTAGGTGGATTAGGTTTACACCAGCATCTAGTAATGGCTTTTTTTTTTACTTAAAGCAAGGATGACTATACATATATACATTTTATCTTTCTAAGAAATCTATTGACAGCATACCCAAATAAAGTACCTCAAACCTGAAATCAATTGCAGTATTTAAGATACTTTCTAAAATGCTATGTATCCCTTTAAAAAATCGTCTTATATTAGGACATTCCCAAAATCTGTAAAAATGATTAGCGTAACGCCAAACTTTTTAAATAATAATACAAATCTAAAGACAGATACCTTGCTTTCTTGGCAGCTCGCTCTGGAGTCTGACACCGAGATCCTCCTGGGCTTGTGAAGGGAGAAAGACTGAGACTGGATGCTGCTCGTCTCTGGATATACAAAATCAAGGGAACAGAGTGAATGAATGCAAAACAACGTCAATATGTTCTTAACATGACAATTACTATATTTCTTGTTACATTTTCTCAAATTTACATCACTAACTTTTTATAGCTTGCCTATAAGGATAAAAGTGGATACCTGTGGATAACCCTGTGAGGAGCTGTAGGAACTGCGAATGGGATTTCGGACAGATCCAGGTACACCACTGGGAACAGGAGCACCACTTATAGAGCTGACAGAGGAGGTGCGAGACCGCTTCATGATGGACTCTTCAATGAGAGAAGAGTTCATGCCTCTCTTCAGACTGCCAGGTCTGAGAAGTAGAGGATAAGAGATAATGAATCTCAATGACTCTGTAAAACCTTGTATTAAGATCACAAGTGGTAGGTTGAAGCTAAATACAGGTGTAAATAAGACCCAACACCACACAACCACATAGAAAAATGCATTCAATTATGTGGTTTTATTAGCGTAACAAATCATGTGGTTAAATACGCTCACCTACTATGGACTTTAATTGGAAGAAAGTGTCACCTACTTTGGCACGAGCTGAGACGGAGCTCCATTTGCAAGAAGAGGCTCAAACGCTGACTGAGAACTTCCACTGCTGTCATGTCGCCTAATGAAACCAAGATAATTTGGTGACGTTTAAAAACCAACTGCAATTTCGTAGATACGTTCAACAGGACAAGCTAGAAGTTTGACTCTAAAAGGATAACAGATCTAAACTGACTTCCATTTGGTCACTTTCTATCCATCTCATACCTCCTTTTGCTCTTCTGCCCTGAGGAAGCACTCTTGTCCTCCTCATCAACCTCTCTCTTCCTGCTCTCTCTGAGCACGCTCAGGACAGCCTCTCTGGAGCAGGGGTCAGCCTGTGCTCCAATCCCAGGAGAGGTGACGGCTCCAGGGGAGTTCAGGTGATTAAAGCTAAAATAAAAATTCAGCATTTATGTATAAGCAAAGAATGTTATTTTTTCTCCTTAAACCCAAGCAGTACAATTTTGCAGTAATCATATAAGCTACGGTTAGTGTTAAAGGAGATCATTAATCCAAATAGATTTCTTAATTAAGCTACAGGCAAAACCAATTGTAATAGCAGTGCATTAAATCCACTAGAGAGACTTTGAAGTAACTCACAATGATGACCGAGTGGAGTCTGGTCTGGCGATCTTCACCGTGACTGGACTGTGAACAGTAGGTGAATTGCGTTGGGTGAGGATATTCTTCTTACGGTATCCATCCCATTTTGCCGGTGGCATGACTCCAATGGGAGATGTGCCTGTCTGTTGAAGGGGGTAATGTCTCTGGGGGGTGATGGTGAACCGGCTCGCATTTCCTGCAGGGTCCCTGATTACATTGAGACATTAACAGGTTCATTGTTTTTATTTTTTAAGAACTTTAACTAAAGAGTAATTCCATGCAAATGTCAACCTTTCCATGAAAAAAAGTCGTCACCAAAATAGCGAACCCCTTAAAAAATCTTTTTGTGTGTATTCTTGTATTTTATAGTACTGTTGAAATACTCAAAAATGTCTGTCAATGTTTTTAAAACAATTATTTTTGATTTACTAAAGTCAAACAAGTGCAAATTTCACACCGATCACATCCATAACTAAGCTTTTTCCTCATAAATGCAAAAAAAAAAAAAATAATAATAATAATAAAAAATAATAATTTTTATTCTCTGGAGACAACTTTTATCCTTTTGATTAGCATCGTTTATTTTGGGTTCACAGAATTTTTTACAAAGTACACTGAAATAAATGATGTCTGCAAAACTGTTGCAAACAATTTATTTGTGTTAAATTAAAACCAACTAATTTAATTTAATAAAACTCAACTTAATTGGTTTGTTGAAATTCAGCCCAAATAAATTGTGTAGAGCCACTTGACGTAAAAAAAAAAATTAAGAGTAAATCCAAGGAATCATCTCTGAATATTTTTTCAGTGTATGTTGTAGACTGTCAACTCGCTAACTTCATTGGGCACATCCATAACGCATGTTTATTTTCCACATTTAAAATATAAAAAATGTTTACAGATTGATATTTTTCTGATCCCATAACATTGTGGTTAGTTGTTTTAAATAATATAAAGAGATGTTTAAGATAATGCTAACATTTACTTTTTCTGTGCATTTATATGTTGAGTTTACAACAAATGTCACATCCATAGCGCTGGAATTGCTCTAAAGCAAAATCCTTCATGCTATGTATATATATGCCTGACTTTACATATTTAAATACATATACACATATATATTTAAAAAAAGAATCCGCAATTTTCTGTCCAAAATAAATCAATTATCATTAAAACAAGGATGTAACCAACGGTTCTACTTTAAGGCTTCAAATAAACTGAAGATAATGTCAAAACATGGGTGAAATAACGTTCCACTGTCTTTCTGTGAATACATTTATGTTAAAAATGAAACCAACATACTCTGACCTGCACTTGTGCTAAAAAAAACATCAATGCATATTGCATAACATACATTTTTGTTATGCTTTTAACTATTAAAATATGTTAAGGAATTGCTAAAACAATTATGCTGCAAAATAAAAGTTAGCAATTTATTTATTGGGACAAAAAAGCAGTTTAATGACATCAAATAATTTGTGCTAAAGTTGCCATTTTTAGATTTTTCTATAAACCAAAGTTACACTGACTGAACAGCATTTCAGTGGGCGATGTCTTCAATAAATCAAAGTAAAAAAAAAGTTACTAAAAAAAAAAGTTGGAAAATAGATAACTGTAACGTTCTAAGATAACATTCATTTGTTTTAATGATTGAAATCCATTTTAGACTTATAGAGGTTTAATATATAATATACTAAATACATTTCCTTTAACAACTTACAATGTCTAGAATAGAATATTAGATGTTTTTGAAACCCAATAAAGTCTTTGTACACAAAAGTACTAATGAAATAGTAATTTATTAATAATTATCTAAGCATTGCTACTTTAACAATAGTGACAAACTCTTAAAACAGTCAAAACTACACTAAAGAAACCAATTCTTTAAGAGGAGCTTTCAAAGTATAAGCAGTCATAAGACAAAACACGACACAAGTGCGATCATTAAGCTGTCAAAAAAGCACATTGAAGCCATGTGGGACTCTTTAAGCAAGCCTACACGTGCGGTGACGGGCGACCAGACCGCTGTAGGAGGAGCAGTGCGCCTGACCAGCTCCAGGAACTCCCACATTTTCAAATCATGGAGGGAAAAGTGGGACAACGTACATGCAAGTACAACTAGATGTGAGGCCAAATGCCTTATATCATTACAGCGTAAGACAGGAAGATCTGATTACTCTTTTTAAAAGTTGAGAGCTTAGAGAAAGTGCCAAGACAGCTTTTAGCGTTTACCCGAATGACAGTCTTCTGTTAGGGGTGTGAACGGCATGATTGGGTCGGGCGAGTCTCTCCCGGAGCTGTTCTCTGGGGTGCATGAAAGACCCCGATCCCCCGGCGGGCCTCACCGCGGCGGAGGGGCTTTCTTCGGGCTTGGCGAGGTAACTTCCCATGAGTATATCCCGAGGGCTGAACACCGACTCACTGAGCTGCTCTCTTCTATAGTACGAGCCCACAAAGTGTCTATCGCTGGGTGACGCGAAAGAGGTTCTAGCATCACTTTTGCGTATCTTGTTTCTGCCGGCGGCCGGGACACCGCTAAAAGTCCTGCCCGGCAACCAGCGCAGCAGAGCCGGCGGGACGCTCAGGCCACGGCGTGGATTGAGGCCTAGTCTCTCGAAGAGCTGTAACTCCTCCGCTTTATGAAAATAAACGACACAAGACACGACACAGATAAAAAGTATGTACAAATAAGCTGGTATGTAGCTCAAAACGAGTAAAAGAATGAAGAGAGAGAAGACCACAGCGGAGAAAACGACTAGCCGCCGTTTATCTTCTGGAGACATGGCGGCACCGCGCCGCCGAGGGAAGATATCCCATAATTCCCTGCGCCCGCGCGCGTTGTTTACGTCTCGAGGTTGTTCGTGACTGCACGGCAAGCGTGAACAGTGCAGGGGGTTTACCGCCCACTAGTGTTGTAACTATATTTGACAGTCTATGGTTGTAACACCACACA